GAAGTATGAACGAAATATGAACAAAATGAAGTTGTAAAACTGGAGTTATAAGTGCAATTAAACTTCGTGTTGATAATCACCCCTAATTCATTTACTTAGGATATCAAATATTCGGCATTCAACAGGGCTCTATGTCCTGTTTTGTTCATTGTCTCTGAGCTCTTTGCCTTGGTCTTGATCCCGCGTCCTCCGTTCCCGACTTCCGCTTCCTGCGCCCAGTGAGTTATGTATTGGAGTGCAAAATATGAGGCTATTAGAGGCCTTAAGTCCGTCGTTCATACGTGCAGGCTGCGCTTTTTCACACACTAGCTCTAATATTCCCCGCAAAACACGTTCTGCGCCGGTATGAGAGCATCATCATTATTATTATACAACAGCTCACGACTGCGGCCATTACGAGGAAAGGAGCAGATGGAACTGAAAGCGAAAGGCGTTCGAGTCCCAGTGTCCTGGGAAGCTGCTCTTCCTCCTCCGATTCCGTCTCAAGTGACTATTCACAGCTGAAGATTTATTGAATGTGCGCGATGCTGCCAGTCTGCCTTTCCCATCGCCTCTGCCACGGATTCTCTGGTGTCTGCCACTGAAAGTTGGCTCCGTCTGCTCTTTGGCATTGGTATTGAGTGTTTATTTATTTTCAAGCATCATAAAAAATACACAGGCATACACAGAGCCAGACTGGGAACCATGGCCGGAAAGGAACTTTGAGGTTGGGATGTACACAAATTCCCGTTTATGATTTAGCAAAAATAAACACTACTACTCTAAGCAATTATTGTGTGTTATACTTTCAAAACTGATGACAACTTGTTACCAAATAGTTCAAAATATCACTAAAAGGTCTTTGCAAACAGTTAATAAAATAATCATATTAATAATTAAACACATTTAGAAAATCAATCATATTTATTGGTCTGAGATTTCAATACAAATTTTTTCGTTTTAATAAAAAGCCTGATATATGAGAATATGATTCTCGGAATGACTGAAGCGACAGACAAGAAGCAAGGACATTCAATAATTTTGCTCGCATTCGAGTGGCAGAAACAGCTGCAATTTTTACGCCATTTTATGCTGCCAAACCAAAGTGTAATTTGTGGCCTGGGAACTTTGTCTATTGCCTCGGTGTGGAGAGTCCTTTTCCAAGGACCCCCCGCAAATAGCTGCCTGCGATGTTGTTTTTGTCGCTGTTAAATGAAGCATTCGCCATCGGAGTTGAAGATGTTTGCAATTTTTATTTCATTTGCCGGTCAATGAACATTGGAAATGTGTTAAGTGGCGCCCACTTCTCAGCCCTCAACTTGTCTTTAATTGTCTACAAGTTGTCGGGATGGCTTTTAATGAAGTGTTAAACGATACTCCGGCTTTCCTGTGACCTCCTGCGGAGTCGTGCCTCCTGGCTTATTATTTGGCACGACCTAAAATATTAATTTCAGTTCGGCCAGCTGACACTTTCCCAGCTCGCATTGAATAATTTCATGCCGTTTCTTAGAGTGTTGACGGGGCTAATTACCATCGATGATGCTTTGGGTAATTTGTGCAGATGGGAACTTAAGCCGCTTAAAGTTTGCATGGTTTTGCTCTTGAGTATCGGCAATTTATGGCTTAGTTGGGTGCTTATTTATGAGACACTTGTGACGTTGATGTATGCTAATAATCAGGATTGAAGTGTGTCCGTATGTCGAAAATCTCGTGGCATCTTCGATTCAACAGAATATTTCAAGTGTCGAATACTATATTGGCACTTGCAATAACTTTGTAAGTAGTATACAAAAACAATACCAAGGTATAGAGAAATGCATGAAGGAAAATAAACTATTTACTTGAAACTTAAAATTGACATATTTTTTTATTTACCTAAAGACAACAGAGATCATTAGGGACGCACAAACAAAGTGTCCACTCAGCTGGGTGCATTTCGAAAACGAACCACTCCCATGTCCTTGTCTTCCACTATCCTTCTCCAGCCCAGATCCTTTTCAATCGTCCGTCACATAATATGGACAATCACTAACCACGAAAGTGTCAAACAAACAAAACGAGCCCAAGGCTGCTCCCTCCTGGAGCTCCACTATTCGCCCCCACTTTCCATACTCATCTGCAATGGGTGCCGTAAATTTGCAAGCAAATCCTATTTTCCTATGAGAGAAGCGCACTCAAACGGGCGGAGACAAACCAGACCAGGCCACATTTGAGTGCTGCGGGCACTTCGATGCTTCTGCTCCCTTTTTTTGTGGGTCGCACACCCCTGCACACATCAATCTCGCCCAACTTTGCAGATACGAATCTTTCATTTTCGTATTTCCGTTCAAAATTTCGTGTTACTGAACTGGAACTTTAGAAAAAGGAGGACACAAAAAGCGAGTGTTACTACCACCAGACAGCGCAGATAGAGGATGGCTGATGTAACTGAAGCGCATGCTGCCTGCTCCTTGGTGCCACATGGTAAAGCCAGCCAGCTCCAATATGTGGGCGGAAGTTGGTAATCGACTGGCTAATGGCCTCTAAGCTAGGATGAACCAAAGACCAACTACAGCGGAACCAACCAATGCATGTGGGACATTTTAAATAAATATTAGATTTATCGATTGGTCACATAACTCAATTATTATTTTTATAAGATTTATTCACTTATTATTTGCTTTGTAGGATCAAGAGTATCTTTTAAATTAATTTTCTAGAAAAGTTTATAACACAGTCACTTGGGAACTTCTATACGTTAAGCTCGTATATCATTTTTGATTTTTATTTTATCAAACTTCTGTAGTGTTGGCTTGATGTCTTCAGCGCCTAAGCCCAACATACCTCGTTCGATGCACAAACAGGGTGTGCAAAGTGGGCATCATTCACATCGTCTGATTGCCCTGGCTGGTATCAAATTTAAATTTCTTCATTTGCCTTTCGGTCCGTGTGCAAGTTCAAGTTTTTTGTCTGTTCCTCGTCTGACTCCTGCTTCCCCTTGGAGCAAAAATTCAGGTCATGTGCGACCAAAAGTAAGTGGATGCGTTCTTATCAGAGCATACAAATGTTTTATCTCGCTCGGCGCGTGTGCAAGCCATGTTACACTGGAAAAAATTTGCTATTATAAATAAGGGAGTAGATTGTATCCCTAATTTTAATTTCTTTTAACGACGATTGAGTTACATACGTATTATTTTGCACAATGAGAAGAAATCTACATATTGCCAATTTTTTAGTGCTCTGAATAGTAAAGTAATTATGTCCAAAAATTCCTGACTAAATCTGTATATTTTATTTTTAAATCTTACATATAAATTATCGCCAGATGCTATTATTTCTATGTGTAAGAACAACGGCAGTACAAAAACCAAGCCTGAAAGTCGCCTGCGGTTGCGCTCTCTTTCTGCCCATCTGTGTGTGGGTGAGTGTTGTGTTTTCCCAATTGTCGGATGTGCCCGTGGGGGAGGGGTTGCGCCCACTAACACCAACACCAACACCAACATCAGCACACATGCACAGCCAGTTAGACACTTTCTTTTGCTGCTTGAGCTTCCGCTTCCGTTTCCACTTCTACTTCCGCTTGCCTGACCCGCTCCAGTTCGTCTGCCTCACTTACTTATGCATAGCATATAACCTTAAACATAATTTTGTTTGCCTTTTGTGTGCTGTTGTGTCCTCGTGCAATTCTATTTGCCAGTGCCGTAGATAGCATTTTCTTATCTTTGTGTGCTGGTTTTTTCCATCAAGCGCTAAATTTTATCTATTTTACCCGTGCCTAGGAGTTGCGAGACCCCTTAAAGAATGCGATCCCTTAAAGCTGGATCGAAAAACAAACTTTATTTTCAGCGTTGTGCGCCACCATTCAAGTGTCAAAGTTTGCACTTGAAATTATAATGGTCGGGCCCCAAAGCCCCATTGGCCCGGTGCCTATAACAAAGGAATGTTGGCTAGCATTCAACCCAAAACCAACCATCGTTCCATGAACATGCCGCCCACCTTCCGCAGAGTTGAACCCTAGGGTCAAAAATTCGCACAATGTCAGTCGAGTCGGTTTTGTGAGGCATATAAAAAATAGAAAAAAAAAAAACAAAAAAAAAACATCGAATGAAATGCATGCCCCATTGACATATGAGTGGGCGTGGCACTCTGTGATGGGTGGCTAGTTGGATTGCCGAGGAAATGGCAAATGCATGCAGCCACTCGATATGAGCTATGCCCATTCTTGCCCCAAATCCACCAACGTTTCATTCCTACAAACCCCCACTGAATCCATCTCTGTGCGTTGATTGTTCGATTCAAACATTTTGGCATGTTTTGGGCAGCTGAACTAGTTTTCACTTTACGTCCACTAGCCACAGTGGAGGAAAAGGCACAAAAGTTGACCAACAATGGCATTGGAGGTAATTTAATCTGTTTATATAGTGCTCTCCCTAGATAGTAATTATCTGCTTCTTCTGTCAATATCAGATGGATTACTAATCAATAAGAAATTTGAAAATATTTTGTGAAATTGTTGCCTTCATTTAATTTAACTTTAGATTTTGAATAAAGATTTCTAGAACCTGTTTATTATTAAAAGAATTTCTGATATAAGTTTACTTAATATGCAATAGTTTACATTTTTTTGAACTGAAATTAATTTTTTTTAATGTGCTAATTTGTGTTTTTATTTTGTTATGTCGTTGTTAAGAGCAATCCACTGTTCAGTTGTCGCCCGGCTGAGGCCGAAATGTGTTAAATCCGCTAGAAACGCGGTTAACCGAGTAAACTGCAAATGCAAAATGCGGTTGGTTCACTTCGGTTCGGTGGGGTGACATCCTGGCTGGGCCCGGTCCTGCTCCTGCTCCTGGTCCTGCTCCCATTCCGGTTTCTATTCCCAGACCATATTAAAGGCAATGCCAAAGTGTTGATGGGTCAGTTTCGGCCGCATGCTATATTGTGTTGGCCATGCGCAATCATTTTTGTGCATTTCATGTGTTTTTGAGGACAACATTTTCATTACGGAATGAAGTGGCGCTTAGTAGGCCAGTAAAACATTTTCACTGCGTTCACAGCCGTGTTTAAATAGCATACACAGCAATAACTCGAAATAAATTGTACAAAAAAATCAAGATGACATCCGAAGAAGATGAGGTATGTTCAATATTCCATTTCTAAAGTCACCGCCTTTCATTTCGTATTTAAGGTATACACGGAGGAGGAGACTGACGAGGCCTTGTTCTTCATCCGCGAGCATGATCTGCCCATGTCGGAGTTGCACTATGCCCTCAAGTATGTCCGCATCCTGAACGGAAACCGATCCCAGAGCGATCAGATTATGCAAGCCCAGGACGCGTCCCTGATTCCTGTCGCTGAGGTGGCACCACCACCATTCGACTGGGAGGACAAGGAGAACCAACCCGTGGCCCGGGACTCATAATTGCTTTAAATGTGTTATAATATTTCGTTTGATTTGCGTTCTGCCCTCAAAAAGGGGTCTGAAAAGAATAAATGCTCAAAAGGCATTTTACTTGTTATGTAATGATTTTATCAATTAATAATAATTAATAAATTGAAATTAGTTTTTCATTCAAATGTTTATAAAACCTAAATGCTACCTGTATGATTGACCATGATAAAGGGCATATGTAAGCTCAGATAACTTGAGAATAAGTTGGCAATGACTATAAAGAAATGCAATGAAAATAAAATATATTTTTGTAGTGTAACAAGAAAAGTTTCCGCTGCAAGAGTTTTAAATGCCAAGGTTCTGTTTTGGCAGTCCATTTCGACATCTTTGCATTCAGCACTCCAGAGCTGCCCCGCGTTTCCTGGCGATTCGCGATTTTTAATTGTCAAACGCAGTCGGGTGACAAATGAAGGCGTGAAGGAGTTGCACCGGAGAAGTCTTAATGACAGCTGATAATTTATTCAGCAAGTGCAACAGCTGAGCGACGGGCAGGAATTGTTTTCCAGCAGCCATGAAATATTTACAAGGGATAAAGGAGCAGCAGGAACAGCAGAAGGAACCCGTGTCCTGTGCCACTGAGATGAAATACATCCGCTTGTCATTGTCAGGATGACCGAGTGTCCAGATCTGCTGTAAAATGCAAATGAAGCCCCGGCGATTTCCACCCTCGCCAAGAGACTTGCATTTAATTAGGAATTAATGCGGGAGTTTGGGGGTGTGGGGGTGCGTTTCGGCACTCTGCGGTTGAGTGAAAGTTGAGCTTTTGGCTTAAGCCGCCTAAGCCGCGACTAAGTTTAATGTCCCGACGCGAAACGCTCAATTTGCATTTTGCATTTTCCTCCTTCAGCTTGTATTCTTTCGAAGGGGATTTCTCCCACAAGCGTTTGCCGCATTTGCAACCCCCAGCAAACAGAGGAAAATTTATTGTTTCAAACGGATTTTGCTGCGCCCCAAATTCGATTACTGGTAATTGCCTATTGCCAACCTCCGTTTTGGTAGGGGCGTGGCACAAAAGCCGGGCTTAATTGAATTAAAAGGCGTTGCAAAGCTCAAAAGCAGCGGGCTCCGTGTTCACTGATGAAGCTTTTTAAGCCGTAAACTGATTAATCGTCTGTATTCCGGTTATGGAGCAGGGTAGTTGATGAAAGCGAATAAATTTCAATGCAATGAGTGTGGCAGTATTCAGTAAAGATAATCACTTGAAATATTTTGTGACTCTAAATTAGAAGACATGTCTAACAGTCTTCACTAGAACTAGTTATAGGGAATTATAGGGCTACAAGAAAATATGTTTCTTAAACAAATATTAAAATCGGCAATTAGGATATTTCTTAATTTTAATAGTAAATTAATAGTAAATTTAATAGTAAATTTTACCGCGTTTTAAACGCGTTGAATGAAATTAAATAATTTAAATTGGATATCAAAATTCGCCGGAAACCACAAAAACAATTTGCGGCGAATTTCGTCAACGCACCTGCATTTATACATATACGGCGAAGTAGGAGCACGGCGTATTTAAAACACAGCGAACTTGTCGCATCGAGACACACACACACACATGAAAACGCGCGTCACCCGCTTGAATGCCAAAATAAAAACCGTAAATTCGAATATTATATTGCATTTTGCTATCGCACGTTATTATTAACATACTAAGTAGACGACAATGCATTCGTTTTAAGAAGAATAACTCCTTTTCGATGTTTATTTAACATAAAATTGCCAGCTGCCTTTTTCTGACGCTCACACACACACACGTGTGCACCGAAGCAGGTGGTTTTTTACTTCTTGCTGGGTTTTATTACTCAAAATCGAAACAGCGGGATTGATTGAACAGAGAGATAAAGATTACTTAGTATTAACACAAGTTTTAACTAATTCCGAACGCTTTTAGTTTATTTAAACTTAATGAAACACGAGATGCGAAAACGCAACCGTCTGCGAAAAGCGCGGCTGAGAACTGGCAGGTAACGGCGTACTGAGAGGAATGGAAGAAAATGGAATAAGCGAGGATCCAACGGAACTTTGCTCTCTTTCGCTCTGATCATGGAAGCTACTGGAAAATAGAGAACTATGCAATTTTACATAGGTAAATTGTATATAAACTAGAAATGCATATAAAATAATATCAGCACCCGGGTGTTTTTTGACACTCTATCTGCGGCAATAACAAACACCCGAGTGTTTTGCCACTCTGTTGTTTTTTGTTACTTGCCAAAAAATACCCAAGTGCCTGCTGCCCAATAAGCCGACACACAGCAACGATCGGCCGCACGTCATTTTCTGTATTCATACAACTTGTATGGGTGGAAGCGAGACAGTTTAAGAAATGAAGGGTGAATGGGAATACCAAGAAAAAGATCGTGCACATGTTTTTGCCTTTTGCTGCACCCCATTTCGGGCACAAAGAATATTTGAAGTTTAAGACGTCATTTGTTATTTTTTACGTTTTTTAATGTATTAATATAAATAATAATAACAAACTGGGTTTAAAAAGTATATATTAAATATTTTAAAACGCATTACAAAAGAACTTAATTTTTCTCAAATTTTTAGGATTTTGCAACTTTTATTTTTAATTTTAAAATTTTATTTTTTACAAAATCTGCCGTTTCTGCCATAATTGCGACCTTTTTCGTTGGCTTCGAAATAAGAATTAATCCTAACACGCTAGCAAGTGCAAAAGCAAAAAACAAAGATGACCCAATAAACACCCGAGACACTCGAGTGCCTACGAGACACCCAGGTCATAAATCCGTGGCACTGAAACACATATGTATATCATAGGCGGTCAAATAAAATGCAAAATAGTTTATTTAAAAATACTTAAGAATATTTACGATTTAACAGATGCTTTTGGTACATAGATTTAACTATACCATTAACCCTAAATAACAAAGTCTGTGAAAAACCTTTTATATCACAATTAAATCCATATTGATTAATAAATCCCAACGTTACATTTAAAATCCAGATGCCACTTGTCTGAAATTCAAATTACGAGCCATTGTTTGAAAGCCGCAGACATGCATTAACAAACATACGAAACTCGACGCTAATTTAGGCCGCAAGGAAGCCTTCTCGATTTGGACCTCCTTTTGGGGGATATATGCGCCCATTTGATGGGTTTATTATTGGGTAAATAAATTAAAATTGTTTACCTTTCAGCGGCGGCCAGCTACAGTTCGCCGGAGAGAGACACAGATACGCCGCTATCTCTTTCGGTGTTTATTTGTTGTTTCTCTGGTAGCCCGGGTGTATTTGTGTATTTTTTTGTATTATTTTTGCCCAGTTCAATTGCGGTTACGTGAGTACGCGTATGTTGCGGCAACTTTATTTGCGCAAATTAATGGATAAATGTTCACGCATGATAATGGAGAAGGACGGCATGGAAATGGGCGGCCATCAACATATGAAAACAAATAGAATTATGGGAACTTTATACAAAACGGATGAAAATAGCGCGGAATATTTCCTCTAGAGTGGTTTTCGCTGATGAAATCGCACCGCGTCTAAATATTTTGTTTAAATTAGTTTGAAAAAATACGAAATATGGCCAGGCAATTAGAGGGTTGCTGGGCTTTCAAACTTTTCATTTTATATTTTTAATATACCACTAAGCTCAATGATACGTTTCCGTTTCTGAAACATGCCGGTAAACACAAATGTGTGCTATACACTAAGGAACGATACACACCGAAATGATGGCAAACAGTTGCGTAAACTATGCAAACTTTGGATATGCGAGTGGGCATCTGTGAATCTGAGAGATTTCCACTCCTGACCACCTCCATCTGGAGTCCAATCAAACAGTGAACTTTTTCAAGTTCTCTGCACTTTTTCCCCTCTATTGATTTTGCTTTCAAATCAAGTTTTTCGTTGAATGGCCCAGAGTGAGCTTTGATTGAAATAGTTTAGTTTGTTTTGATAGTCATGCATACGAAAACAAATATTTTGAGGCTTCTCGAAAAGTTAACACCTCGCAAAAGAAAAGCTTTTATGCCCCTCCTTTTTGTGGCACGTGGAAATGAGCATCTAAAATAACTTATAACCCTGCTTAAAACAATTCGCTTATTAAAGAAATTAAATATTCTATTGAATTTCTGATTAAGAATTCATCGTACCTAGGACAGGTGTAAAAGGAAACGAATTTAAGCACCACAACAGTTGCCATCTCTGCACTCCAAGTGCCATAAATGTCAATAGACCAGAAACCATTATGCATAATAATACCCCTACTCAAAGTCGGCTCTGCAGCTGCTCAGAGCCATGGGGATTCCCCAGCCCCAACCCCAACCCCATCCACAGCCCCATCTCCGTCCAGGATCCCCAACTCCCTGGCCTTTGTCCGATGTCAGCATTGTCTGTTCCTGTTCCCCGACTTCTGTTCGCATGCTAAACAATATTTCTCCATTACGAAACAATGGGACGAGTCGCCTGTCCCCGACAAGTAGCACCTTTTACTTGTGGCATCAGTTAAAAGTTTTGCTTTTTATGCTAGCGCGTTGCAGTGGCAAGTTGCCCTCCCTACAATCCCGCCGTTTTCCGCCTCCTCGCCTGGATGCTTGCAACTATCTCAAGTCGTTGCGGCAACTTTTGTTGCCTACTTTTGTGGGTCTTCCTTTCTCCCCATGTGGAAAGTTTTTGCTCTCGCTTATTGTCCGGCGTGGAAAAAGTTAGGTTTTGTTGCTAAATTGAATGCGACTTGCGTTTGCTTTGCCGCCGTTGCGTCCTTGTATCCAACATCGTGCTGACGTCCTGCTGAAGGTCCTTGAAGGTGCAAATTGTAAAACAAACAGAGAAACGAGACCTTCCCAGCTGCCTCGAACAGAAATGGGGCGGCGAAGTTGACAGATAAAGTGTTGCCAGAGTATCGAGGCCTTTAAATGCGGTGATTACAGATCAAACTGTACGACTACTTACACCGCATAAACATCTCACTATAAATTAAAACGGGCTTGGTCCAAATGGGGAGCTAATCAAATCATTTGTAAACTTTATAGACAGTTTAGGAAAGCTTACCAAACATATACTTTAATTTTCATTCGGATGAGTAATCCATGT